ATGGTTTAAAATCAAAACAGTATGAATTAAGATAGGTTATTCACCTATCCCTGACTACCTCACACCCCCTCTCTACCATCCCTTACAGTTAACCATTTTTATTAGTTTATATTGTATTCTTCTAGTTTGTAGATTTTTTCAAATGCAGATATAAGCAAATACAAATGTTATCTTACTTTCTTCCCTTTATAGTGTATGGCATATAGAATATATGTAACATTTTGTTACATAGTATGTACTGTGTACTGTTCTGTTCCTTGGGATTTTCCCATATTAATGCATGGAGAGAAGTCATTTATTTTTTGCATCTGCATTGTGTCCCGTTGGGTGAATATACTGTATATAACCATTCCCCTATTGATAAACATTTGAGTTGTTTTATCTTTTTTCTGTTACAAAAATTATCATTCAGAATGTGTGTGCATTATTACTTGTTACATTTCAGCTTGGTTCTATCCTTTATTTCTGGGAATTATATTTCCAATTGAAAGACCATTTTTCTGTATACACCAGATTTCTGTCCACATAGTGGAGCCTCAGTTTTCTTAGGTTTCAAACAGCTTTTCATTTTAGTACAGTGGGATCTAGCTCATCCCAGTAGTTGTGATAATATTCCATTGTATAGATTTGCCTTAACTTAGATAATCAACCAGTCCCTGTTTTTTGTCATTGATGTTATTTCCTACCTTTTGAAGGTAGGGCTGCAGTAATTGTATATGTAGCTAAATCTTAAAGTATATTATTAATTGTTTCCTTGGGATAAATTTCTAGAAGAATCTCTGGGTTAAAGGTTAGGTGTATTTTTACAGCTTTCAATATATACTACCAAGTTGCCCTCAAGGAAGGTTTTACTTCCCATCACAGTGTAAAAGTGTTCCATTCCCTACAAACCAAGTGGCACTGGGTCTCATTTACAAATAATCTCTGCTAATTTACTGAAGACACATGGTACCTATGGTTCTAATCTGAATTTCTTTGATTGCTGTCGAGATGAAATTCTTTCAAATGTTTATTTGGATATCAGTTTTTGTGCATTACCTATTCATGTCCTTTGCCTATTTTTTTATCAAGGATATTGGCATTTGTCCTTATTGATCTGAAGAGCTTTATACATTAAAGATATTAACCCTTTTATGGTTATTTATTGTTGAAATCATTTTCCTACATTTATTTGCATTTTAATTTTGGTTATTGTGACTTTTGACCTATTTAAATGTAAACTGTTTATGTTGTTAAATACATTAGACTTCCCCTTTATGTTTTCTGTCCTTGGTGACTTGCTACAAAGTCTGTTCCCTCCCTAGAGTGTATTAGTATTTGCCTGTATTTTCTTTAAGCCCTTTAATGTTTTGTTTTGCTTTGTTTTGGCCTTTAAAATATTATTTATTTGAATTTTTGTTTTCAAAGGAAATATGTTCTTATTGTATAGTTGAAACCATGCAAACATGTATAATGAAAAATGTAATAATTCCTGTCAACCCTTCCATTCTCTCCATGCCCCAAAATGCTTTTTCATATGTAAATATTTAGATCTCACATCATTCTGGAATTTATTGTGGTATCAATGTGACAGGAAGGATCTAACTTCATTTTTTTCCAGGAGGTTAGTTAGTTTTTTGAACACTCTTCATTGGATAACTCTATCTTTTATTTACTGATCTAAGATGTGACATGCTTTTTCATATGTAAATATTTAGATCTCACATCATTCTGGAATTTATTGTGGTATCAATCTGACAGGAAGGATCTAACTTCATTTTTTTCCAGGAGGTTAGTTAGTTTTTTGAACACTCTTCATTGGATATCTCTATCTTTTATTTACTGATCTAAGATGTGACTTTTTTTTTTTAAGATGACCGGTAAGGGGACCTTAACCCTTGACTTGGTGTTGTCAGCACCACGCTCTCCCAAGTGAGCTAACCGGCCATCCTTATGTGGGATCTGAACCCGTGGCCTTGGTGTTATCAGCACCACACTCTCCCGAGTGAGCCACAGGCCGGCCCTAGGATGTGACTTTTTTATGAACTAAATTCTTATATGTACTTTTGGGTTTTTTATCCTTTTCCATTGATCTGTCTATTACTGGGCCAGCACGACAACTTTAACTATCATAGCTTTTTAATTTGTATGTTAGAGAGTATTCTTTTTCTTTTTTAAATATAATTTTTTTTCTAAGTGATACATTGACATGGTTCATAATACCGAAAGTAAAAAAGAAAAAAGACAAATTTCCCCCATCTTTGTTTCTCAGTCATAGTCCCCTCTGTATAGGGAAACAGCATTATTAATGTCATAGGTCTTCCATACATGTACAATAAGATACATGTATATATTCCCCCATTTTAATTTTTTACCTGAATGGCAGCTTGCTATATACTGTACCTTCAAAACAATATTTTTAATTATAATTATTTCTTTTTCCAAATGAATTTTAGAATTACTTATTTAGCACCACCACTGCCACATACAGACAGACCACTGGGATTTTGATTGAAATTGTTTTAAGCTTTGTAAATTAGTTTGGGGGAGCATTGACAATCTTACAATCCTCAAATTTCCCATTGGGGAACATGATGGCTTTCCATTTACTTAAGTTTTTAACTTTTAAAGTTATTCAAAGTTTGCTGCAATTCAAGCACACACTCCTCCTCCAGCCTCTTCTGAGGATCCTTCTTGCCCCTCAGCCTGGCCCCACTGCTACCACAGTGCTCGTCCCATGCAGATCCCCACGTCCTTCAGTGTCCCCTGACCCCCCACCCGCACAGGACCTTTGCTGACATTCCAGCTGGCAGCTCTTCCCCTCTCTGAGGCACCTGCCATCTCTGCCCCCACTTGCTGTCCCTTCATCAGGGCCCTATCTCGTGTATCCTCCTCTTCTATGAGTGCCTAGCAGTGGGCTGCACATTGCTGAGGACCGCCAAGTACCCGCCCTAGAGGTAGCAACCTGGGGAAGGCGAGAGCCCCGCCCAGCGCTAGAGGATGCTGAGAGTCGGGCACTGCCCTCCTTTCCCTGCTGTGTTGGCTTCCTGGCCCTCCCAGCTGCCGGGAGGGGAGAGGTTTGGAGCTGCTCTCCTCGGGGTGGGTAGGCGTACTTCTCCACTGTCTCCTTGGGGGTTTATGCAGGTCACCTCCTGCTTCCTGGGTGAGGAGAATCTGCTGTTGTTATCATTTCTTCTTGCCCTTTGACTTGGGGTCTGTGAGGGGTATTGAGAAGAGAGCCCCCACAGCTCTGCCTTTTCTTCTCCCTGGCCCCACTTGGCTGCCCCATCTTCTCCAAGGCAGTGTCTGATGAGGAGGTGGCAGAACTGAGCGGCTCTTTCAGGATGGGCTTTCTGCCTCATCTGCACCAGGGACATGGGCAATGGGTGCAGATCACCGTGCTCCAGGTTTGATAGTAGACTTGGTATAGGAAGTTTTCTTATTTTATTCTAGAATCATCAGGCTGTGGGGGATTGATTCCTTTTTTCACCAAATGCATAGTAATCAGACTCAATTGGCAATTTATGTAGAGGCTGCATCTTTCCACTGAGAGAGTATGTGGGCCTGCTGCCAGGGGCACTTGGGAAACCCAAGCACTCACCAGGGGTAGCTGGGTGAGCAGGGGTGGCAGCAGGAATATTTCATCCAGACTGCATAAAGACTGCAGAATTCAGTTGCTCTTGGTACACCTGCTGCTTTTCTTTTCTTTCTTTTTTATTTTTATTTTTTTTTGTCCTTTTTGAGACCTGCCGCACCGCGGGCTCAGCCAGTGAGCGCTGTGAGCGCACAGGTCATCCCTATATAGGATCCGAACCCGTGGCGGGAGCGCTGCTGTGCTCCCAGTGCCGCACTCTCCCGAGCACGCCACGGGCTCGGCCCCACATGCTGCTTTTCTGGCAAGCAAAATGTTCATGTCTAGGTCAGCGCTGGGAGCGCAGTGGTGCCAGGAGCGCCGAGGCTGCGGGTTCGGATCCTATATAGGGATGGCCGGTGCGCTCACTGGCTGAGCGCGGTGCGGGCGACACCAAGCCAAGCGTGGCGATCCCCTTCCCGGTCACAAAAAAGAAAAAAACAAAAAAATGTTCATGTGTCACATACACAGATGTCCTTCTCCTCTTTAGATGCTGGAGACATTGTCCTTGTGACACATTCTCACAGTTTCTGATAAGGGCTACGTTCGAGGCTTTCCTCATTAAATTGAGTCCAGTCCAGTTTACATCCGCTGCATTTCTGCGTGGTTGCTTCTTATAACCCACATTGCATTCATAACCTGGGCAGTTCAGAGGGTGGGATGGCTCGTTTCCAGGAGTGTGTCTGCAGATGGCTGCTCACACACGGTGTGGGCGCTCTTGTTCACTGTTTCCCGGCTGTATCCTCAGGGTCTGTGCTTTACCCTGCTCTAGGGTCTGGGGGCACGTGTGCTCCTGCTGCGTCCTGGTGCCGACTAGTGTGCACAGCTGCTGCGGTGCCTCCTGACTTAGCGCTGCCTCCTGTCCTCTCTTCCAGCTACTCGCGGAACCGTACCTTTGACACGTACATCGGGCAGGGCTACGTGATTCCTGGGATGGATGAAGGTTTACTTGGGGTGTGCATCGGAGAGAAGCGAAGGATTGTGGTGCCCCCGCACCTGGGGTACGGAGAGGAGGGAAGAGGTGAGCACCACCTGCCTTCTGCACCGGCACGGCTGCAGCCCCCGCGCTCCGAACGGGCTTCTTGAGGGCCCAGGCGCTGAAGCTGAAGTCCTGCTTAAGACTTGACGCCCAGATGGCTTTAGTTTCTAGAGTTGGTCTGTTCTTTCTCCTTGTTCCCCCTTGCCCATTTTCCTTTTGAAACATTTTGAACCTTTTAAACATTTGAAACAAAGTTGAAAGAACTGTACCGTGAATTCCACTTGGTTTCACCAATTGTTAACACCTTGCTATATTTTATCAGTCTTTATTTTGGGGGCGCTGGGCCATTTGAAAATAAGTGCGAAACTTCTGTTTTGGTTTTTGTTTTCTATGCCAAAAAATTCACCCATTTAAATATACAATTCAGTGACTTTTAGTAAATTTAGTGAGTTGTGCAACCATCACCATAATCCAATTTTAGAACGTTTTTGTCAATAGCAAATTACCTTTTAAAAATTACATAAATAATACATTTTGACTTTAGAAAAAGGAAGTACAGAAAACAAAAATCTCCCATAATCCTACTATTCAGAAATAAATATTGTTAATGTGGTAGGCAGAATATTGGCCCCAAAAGATGCCCATGTCCTAATCCCCAGAATCATGAGTATGTTACCTTATTAAAAAGGACTTTACAGGGCCGGCCCATGGCTCGCTCAGGAGAGTGTGGTGCTGATTAACACCAAGACCATGGGTTCCGATCCCTATATAGGGATGGCCGGTTAGCTCACTGGCTGAGCGTGGTGCTGACAACACCACGTTAAGGGTTAAGATCCCCTTACCTGTCATTTTTTTTTTTTTTTTTTTTTTTAAAGGACTTTACAGATGTGATTAAATAAACACTCTTGAGATAGGGGCATACAGGAATCATACAGGAGGCCTTGAAATATGAGGGAGGGAGGAAGTCAGGGGATAAAATGCTAAACTGCTGACTTAGAAGATGGAGGAAAGGCCATGGTCAAGGAATGAGGGAGGCCACAGAAGCTGGAAAGGGTTAGAAAACAGATTCTCTCCTGAAGCCTTCAAAATAAACACATCCCTGCCAAAAGATTAGATTTGGGATCTCCAGAATTATGAGAATCAATTTGTGCTTTTTTAAGCCACCAAGTTTGTGGTAATTTGTTACAGCAGCAGTAGGAAATTAATACAGCCATAAAGTGAATAGCCTTCTATACTTTTGAGTAAATGTGTAGAAAAAAGAAATACACATCTACCTACATTAATAAATTATACAAAAATGGTATCATCTATACATATTACTTTGTAATTTATCTCTTCACCCTATTTGCTATGAACAACAGATATAGTATGAACAACTTTCTATGCCAGATATTTTTAATGACTATAGTATTTCACACCATATTTTCTTTCTTAATTATGTTTTCTCTCATGTACCATTTTTTGCTGACTTGCTTAGGAATAGTTAATGCAATATTTATTTTGCTTTTGTATTTCTTTTGTTGATGGAATTCCTTGCTGGTCTTATTGGCTTTATTCACCCTCTTCTGATTACTATTGATATATCATAGGGGTCTTGGAAATTTTTCCAGTAGGGTTTGCACAGAGGATCTAAAAAACATCAAGTTGGTTGGAAACTAGGGTATACCATCAAGAAACATTTCTTTTCTCCCTCACTTAAATTTCTGATTTATGAAGCCACAACAGATCACAGCTTAAGATACATTTAACAGGCCTTGCTTTATGTCCTGTTTGTTTAGAGGCTTGATGCTCTTTTGTTTGCACCATGTAAATTTCTACTTCTACCCAAATTCACATAGAAACAGATAAATTCTTTCTGTGTATTCTTGTTTCATTATGACCTGAAGATGAATCCTTCCTTTTCTCTAAAAAGAATGCATTGATGGAAAACATTTGCTTAAATTATTTTTTTCCTTTTGGCTTTCTATCAAGTATGAGACAGAGCTCTGCAAAGAATTATATAAGGCTCTGGGAAGCTTCCAAAGGCTCATAAATTTTCTGGGCATGAGGCTGCTTCCTCCTAAGTCATATTTTGCTGTGGGGGTAGGGCTCCCTGATGTGTAAAACCCAAGTGCTCTTATGTGGGTCTGCCTCTGTCCTCTTCTTGTTAGTGCCTTGGCCTCTCTAGGGGGAGTTGCATAGGACCTAAAACTGATCCCTAAGGGACTGACCCAAGAAGTGTGTCAGGATGCAGAATCAGTCTAGTTTGTGGCTTCCACGCCATGTACCACAGGGCCAGACACATAGTAAGAGTTCAACAATATTTGTGGAAGGAATGAATTACTGGGCTGTCTTTGGCACTGTCATGTCAGCCTTTATCATCATTTCATTGTATTCAGCCTTTTCCCCTGCAGGGTTGGTGGAGGGGAAGGGATAGGCCTTCTGGAAAAGGCTCTGGACCTTTCTGCTGTCTGCTTTGTTCCACCGGCTCAGCCTGAAAGGAAGATGCTTGGATGTGCTTGCAGCCCTGAAGTGGGGAATGGATTCTGCTGCAGGGTTGTGTGAGCATTATTTCTCCGTTCTTTCTGTCACCCAACTTCCAAATGACCTTTTGAGTACTCTTGTAGGAAAGAGGAGAGTAAGGAAAATAATTCATATTTTATCCACTGTGTGTCTGGGCCTTCTTGCACACAAACTTGTCCAAACCTGTAAATAATCATTTGAGTATTATTATCCTCATTGCTTGGGTAAGATAACAAGGCCCAGAAAGGTAGAGTCATTTGCGCAAAGCCACAACAGCTAACCAGCGATGGAGCAGGAATTGAACCCAGGGCTTTTTGACCTGCCTGTGTCAAAGGCAGATGGGAAACATGAGTTTCCATCAGGCATATGATACCCATATATGGAGAACTGAGAGCTCTAACCAGGAGTCCCAGAGCTCTCAGATGAAACCCACAAGCACTCAGAGCTGCAGAGTTTCTGGGGCGAGCTAGCCTGCTGCCTTTATATTTTTGTTACGTGTCTCTTCTTGAGGAGGCATTCTTGTGGTGAAAATGGAGTGACTACCGCTGCATTGGTTAAGGGTTTAGTCAGAGAGGAGGCTGGTGTTGAGGCCATAATGAAGTGGTGGACCATTTTCACCTGTATAGATAGCTTTGTGTAAGTCAGAGCAAGATAGCGGGGTCAAGGTGGGAAGCTTGCTGGCTGCCTGGGGCAGGCAGGATCTTGTGGATCAAGACCTGGTCTCTATTATGGCAGGCCCAGAAACTCCAACTACCCTTCCATCAAAGATTCATTGAGTGTCTTCATGACCAGGCCCTGCTGTAGGTGTTGGGGATTCAGCAGAGAAAAAGACAAACAAAACTTACTGCCCACACAGAGCTTACATCCTGTTGATGCCTTGGTAGATGCGTGTTTGTGCCTCAGAGTGAATCAGGCATCTGGTAGGCTGGCTCATGTTAACTTCTTGGGAGCTGACATGCAAACTTGTTGCTAAATAGTTACAGTACTTGACTGGGTGTGAGTTGACCTCTGCACTGACTGGAATGCTTGTGTCTGGAATCCTCAAGTCTGAGAAGACAGTTATCAGGAGAGGGCTGGACCCAGATCGCAGGGATATGGGTGGTCTGGGGGTCTGCACCCGAATGCACCTTGGAGGGGAGGTTAAATTTGGTGTCAGCTTACAGACCACTTAACATAGTGTTCCTTAGAGCTGCTGGTGGCTCAGTTGGTTAAAGCATGATTCAACCCCTGAACCAGCCAGCCACTAAAAAAAAAAAGAGTGAAAAACAGTGTTCCTTCAACTTGGTTGCCTGTGAGGAACCCTTGGAAAACTTCTTTAAAATACCAATGCCTGTTCCCACACTGGTCGAGTAGTTCTCAAATACTGGTATGTATCACTGAGAATCACCTGCAGAGTGTAAAGATCACAGAACCCAGCCGTGTTGTTGGGACCCTGCTGGACTCCTGGCCCTTTGTATTTTTTTTTTTTCTTTTTTTGTGACCGGTAAGGGGATCGTAACCCTTGGCTTGGTGTCGCTCTCACCGCGCTCAGCCAGTGAGCACACCGGCCATCCCTATGTAGGATCCGAACCTGCAGCCTCAGAGCTCCCAGCGCTGCTGCACTCCCAGCGCCGCACTCACCTGAGTGAGCCATGGGGTTGGCCCCTGGCCCTTTGTATTTTTACCAAGTTCTCCAGGACTTTCTGATACGCAGCTAAGTCTAAGACCACTGCTCTGCAAAAGCTACTTCTGAGGGGGGCAGGCATTGACATTATTTTTAATGCTTCCGAGTGGTTTTTTTTTTTTGAGATGTTCATGTGATTTTTGTTCTTTTATTCTGTGAATGTGGTGAATTACATTAATTGATTTTTTTACTGTGGTAAAATACATATAACATTTCTACCATTTTAACCATTCTTAAGTGTACAAGTCAGTGGCATTAAATATTTTCACAATGTTGTCTAACCATCACGACCATCTAGACCCCAAACTCTTTCATCATCTCCAGCACAGACTCTGAACCATCACACAGTAACTCCTCACCCCCGCTCCTACCAGCCCCTGGAGACCCCCATTCTACTTTCTGTCTCTTCACATTTTCCTATTCTAGGTACCTCATTAAAGTGGAATCATAATATTTGTCCTTCTGTATCTGGCTTACTTTACTGTAGAGCTGAAAAGAAACTGAGGCCAAATACATGTACTGAGGATTCGTTGAGCCAATATGGTGATTGCAACTAGGGAGACACATAGTCAGGTCACTCTGAGAAATGTGTTCCCAAGAGGGACAGTAGAGCTTAGCATTTTATAATCACAAGAAGGGGAAGGATCAAAAGAAAGAGAGAGGACAGCTCCACCTAATCACTTCAGATTTTTTATTGCTTCTGCATGACCAATAAATTTGGGATTGTTACTAGGCTACATCCTACATGCAGGGATCTAGGATAAGGGTCACAAAAAGCATTCTAGGTTATTTTATGGCTTTCTGGTGCCATCCTGTCTGCTTCTAAGTGAAAATGGTCTTATGATAACATTTTCCAGGACAGGTGGATGTGACAACTGACTTATCCCATATCTCCCAAGGCACGACAATTTAGCTGACCTGGTCAGAGCAGATATTTTTGATTATCATTACTTAGCATGTTTTCAAGGTCCATCAATATTTTAGCAGATATCAAAATTTCACTTTTTTTTGGCTAATAAATTCTATTCCTTTTCATGGCTGAAAATTTCATTCCTTTTTTTAATGGCTGAATACCACATTTTGTTTATCCATTCATCTGTTGATGGACACTTCAGTTGTTTTCACCTTTTGGCTATTGTGAATAATGCTGCTATGAATGTTGGTGTACAAATATCTGTTCAAATCTCTGTTTTCAGTTCTTTGGGTTATATATCTAGGAGAGAGATTATGTTTGTTTCTTTGTTTTTGGCAGCTGGCCGGTACAGGGATCGAACCCTGGAAGTTGGTGTTATCAGCACCACGCTCAAACCAAGTGAGCTAACTGGCCAGCCAAAGATTTTTTAATTTAATTTTTTATTGAGATACAATTCACATACTATAAAATTAATCATTTTAAAGTTTACAATTTAGTGTTTTTTAGTATATTCACAAGGTAGTGCCACTATTACCACTGTCTAATTCCAGAACATTTTCATGACTCCAAAAAGTAACCCCATACCCATTAGCAGTCACTTTGCTTCCCTCTTCCCCATTGACAGCCCCCACCCACCCTCAGCTTGGCAACTACTAATCTGTTTTCTGTCTCTATGGATTTTCCTGTTCTGGACATTCCATATCAGTGGAATCCTACAGTAATTGGCCTTTCGTGTCTGGCTTCTTTCACTTAGCATAATATTTTCAAAGTTTTTTCCCAGGTGATTTTAATGGGTTGCCAAGGTTGAGAAACCACTGATACGGCTCTGCAGCCACTCCCCGCTGTTCGTGTGTGTTCGTTTGTGGCACAGAGCTGCCCTTGTCCCTGACTCTGAGCAACCATACAGCTGATGGCAGGCTGCAATTCCCGGTTCCTACGGGAAAGAGCCTGCACCTCATTCCCACTCACACCAGCAACTCTCTGCCACGAGTGAACATCAAACACCTGTGTTCTGCTATAAAGCTCAGACTTTTCAAATTCTTACCTTTAACTTTGGACAGGCCCTAAAATTTGTGGCTCAGTTTTCTCATCTGTAAATTGGGAATATCGGATTTTAATGATAATTAAATAAATTGATACATATAAAACACTTGGAAGAGTGTCTGGTACTTAAGCACCCATTAAGTGTGTGTAAGTGTGTGTGTGTGTGTGTGTGTGTGTGTGTTAGAGAGAGAGGAGAGAGACCAAGAAACACAAAGAGAAGTACGTGGCAGGGATGGAAGGCAGGGAGGGGCTGTTGGTGTTCATGTATCTGTATTTGAGTTCTGTGTATAGCTGTGTTGTTTTCTTGAACAAGTTATATCACGTCTGAGCTGGTTTTCTTATATGTAAAATGCTAATGATAATGCTATACATCTTTGATTCTAAGTAACATGATTTAAAAGTTTTTTACATTTAAACTTCTCTGAAATGACTGGGGCGGGGGAGGTGCTATACAACTGATGCATACATTTAAGGTGTCCCCTCACCCCCCCCCCCCCCC